TGCACGTATGATTAGTAATCTTGCAAGCAAGCAAGCAACAAGTTTATTTCTAACATTAAGAAAGTTTTAGTTTCCCACCCACCCACACCATCGACAGTTTTGATTGTACCTTAATCTCATTCGTGTTTGTAATTTATTCTTGATTACTGGACCGTTGGTTTAGTGTATTCGTCCAATATCTTTGTTATGAAACAGTCTAGAGTGTTATTTACGTAGGATATATACATGGTCCCAAAACAAGCCTCTGTCTGTTGTGGTGTTTAGTTCATATCTCAATTTGCTTTAACATTATCTTATATCATTTTGTACAATGTAGTCGTTGAAGCTCTTCCACATGTCCAAAATCCCACCTTTGAAAATAAACCGGGGCTCTTCACAGGCCACCAAACTCCACTGCGAGTTCCAGGTAAAATTCTCCTCTACAAGAATAGTTTGATTTATGCCGACACAAATGAACATATACCCTGTATGAAGATTTTTGTTTATATATGTTGAATTGAAAATATTAGAATATGTGCTTTTTGTGGTCACTAATCGTTGTTTCAGGCGCTGCGAAGCAGTTAAAGCGGGTTGTTGCTTCAGCGCTATTGAAATTTATAGTATTCAGACAGGAAAGCAAAGCGTGATGCTCTCGGAATAAAAAATTTTAGGGGCCTTTTCTATGATATCGGAATGAGTTTTGCTCAAGAACGAGTTCATCCCGGTTGCCACATCATACCAGAGTAAAATTTATTCGAAACGAGTCATTTCTGAATGAGTTTTTGAGGATTCTCTACTAATTAATCTCTAAATTCTCTACTAATTATAATTAATCCGGAGAAAACCAGAGTCTTTCTTGTGGGAGTGCCGCAGTTAGTGCGTAAATTGCCTCCAATGTCAAACTCCCTTTTAGGAAAGGAAATAACACTAGCTCCCGTAGCAAAGGACCTTGGTGTCTTCATCGATCAGTCCTTAACTTACAACGATCATGCTGCAAAAACTACCTCTAATTGTCTATTTAAATTAATACAGATTAGCAGGATGAAACACCCTCTGGGCAGAAAGTCTCTTATATTGTTGATGAACGCTTTCGTTTTTATTAAACTGTTCTATTGCTCAACTGTATAGGCGAGCACTTCTCAAGGCAATGTAACACTCCACTTAGTACAGATTTTTTGCTGCGCGTATCGTTCTAGGTCTTAGGAAAGATGACCACATCTCAGAAGGCATAAGATCCCTTAACTGGCTTACTGTTAAGGATAGGCTCCTTCTTAACGATGCTGTAATGGTATTGAAATTTCTTAATGATTTAGTCCCAAAATATCTGGCCAATATATTTGTACCTCGCTCTCATATTCACACTAGGACTACGCGATCATGCAATCTTTTACACATCCCTCGT